ATTTAGCAGGAAGATTTAAAAATTTTAGGTAAGGGACACCAGGGAGACACAATACTCCTATTTGGCTCGTTCCAAGTGTGAATGTAACTCATACTCCCCTGACCACGAAATGTGGATCCAAAGGCCTTTTGATAAGAAACCGCTGCCAGACTCTGGCTACATGAGCTGTCACTGGAACCGAGTGGCTGTCCCTGGGGACACAGGGACTGCCACACAGCCTGGAAAACAGCCCGGGACACAAGATCAAAAAATAAATGGTAAAGGGACCAGGGAGCAAGTGGAAGCTTTTCAATCAAAACTGCCCACAAACCAAAAGCTGTAGGAAACTGGAAAGAAAGTTAGGACATCTCCCAACACGCAGCAGTGCTGAAGAACATGGCAAGAGTCCACTTGGTTGCGCTGAATGCGAAAAAAAAAGTTTTGGTATGGAAGAACTGGACCTACAGTTCCCTAAGAAGTGAGGGCTGGATCAATGTCAGGTGCACTTAAGAGTGATCGAAAAGCTTGGAGGCATTAAAAATGGAATAAAAGTCTCCAAGAAACAGCATGGAGACATTTAAATGTGCGGGGTCAGTTTCAGTGCTCTGACCAGACAGTTCTGCAGAGATAAAAACAAAAGTTCTACAAAATTACAAGTCAGATAGGCATGATGTTATTTCTCCTGCAGATAAGGGGAAGCACTTGGACAGACAAGCACTCCCCGTCTTCCATCAGTAATTTACAGTGTTGTTACCATCACCATTTACCCTCATTGTATCTCTCTGGGGGTTCCTCCTGCTGTAGCTGAAATGACAGGGCCAAACAGATCTGTGCACCTCACCCACACTCGGACAAACCCTGACATCTGTGGGAAGGACAGCACGAACAGAAAATACCAATCAGGAAACCCTAAGGCATGGGTTGAGGCTCTCTCCTGCCAATTTTCCTACTCCTGCTGGCAAGCTTCAGCAGAGGGTAGGGACAGACAGCTAACCTAGGTAACTTTTACAGTTCCTCAGTGAGCTTTCTATCAGAGAGAGCCTAGTGCAAACCCTCCAAATCATCTCCCTGACCCACTCCTTTTGTCAGCTCTCTCACACACCTTCCCTCTCACTCCTTTCCCTCACTCAACAAAGAGACAAACTGAACACAAACTACAGCTTTAGAGCTGTTTTGGAATTGAAAGGAAATTCAAGCTGCCCCTAGACAGAGGCCAGAAGAGAGGACACAGTGCTCAGCACAGTGAATGGCCCAGCTTGCACACAAAGTGCGAGACATCTATAAAACTGAAGCAAATATGTATTAGCACTAAAGACCAACCACAGCAGGTTCACATCCTCAGCCCACTTTTCTCCCTCAGTAAAGCAGTTCAACAGACCCATGTGACACAGGGAAGGAGTAGAGGGACTTTCTACAACTTAGAGATTCACAGACTATTCTGAGCCAGAAGGGACCCACAAGAATCATCGAGCACAACCCCTGGCCCTGCACAGGACTCCCCCAAGAGTCACACCACATGCCCGAGAGTATCATCCAAACACTTCTTGAACTCAGTCAGGCTTGGTGCTGTAACCACTGTCCTGGGGAGCCTGTTCCAGTGCCCAACCACCCGCTGGGTGAAGAATCTTTTCCTAATATCCAACCTAAACCTCTCCTGACACAACTTCACAGACTCACATCACTCCACAGTTTCTCTCTGTGTCAGAGCCCCCCTCGTTCAGCACATAACGCCCAGAGGCATCACAGGGGAGGGTATGAAGAGTCAGAGCAGAAAGTAATTACCAGTTAGTGATCCTCCTGAAAACGACAACCAACCTCAAAAGCCCTGCTTAAAGTAAGGAAACAAGCTGTTCCTGCAAGTCTGTGCTAAAAATAAGCAAAAAGTCACTGTCTCAGAATGATTCCAGCTGCGGAAACAAAAGTGAAAGCTGCCATGTCCTTTGCGTGCTGGCCTGGCTTTTTATAACCATCCCTATGAAATCACTTCCCAGATAGGGAGTGTTTCTTACCACGAGCAGTTTCTTACCACCCTGAACATCTGAATTACAGACTAAACTGCCTTTCCCAGGCAGGTTTTCAAGAGCAAAAAAAATTCATAAAAACAGTTTTGTCCACGAGCGAGGTGCCTGAGGTCCGTGGTGACTGCAGTCACTTACTGAAACAAGACAACCACGGGGTGAGTTCAGACTCGTGCTGGAGACGCCAAGTTTTCAACACTGCTTCACACAGGCTGGCACAGGAAAACAGGAATCCCTTCAGAACCCACACTCCCTGAGCTTTTGGAATGCTTACTTGCCGTGCTAAGGCTCGGCTCAGCAAGATGGCTGCCAGCAGCAGGGACAAAAAATGGCATCTAGAAAGTAACCCCGTCCCAGCTGCAAAGTAACTTTTGCTGGTTCCTACTCGGGCGAGAAGTAGTTTGCTAACGTAGCAATCCCCTTTTAAAGACACTGTTCACCCCGCTCGGCTGCTCAGCAGGGCTCTGGGAATGTCACTTCCACCACGGCCACAGAATGCCTGGCACACCTCGCTGAAACTGACCCGGCAGGACCAAGCAGGTCCGGATTGCAGGAGTGGCAAAAGGAAAGGAAAACACACGCAAAAGGACACGAAAGGGACCAAAAGCGCCTCTGGCGAGACCAAAAAGTCACTTCGAGTATCCCTGCTTTGGGGAAAATTTATCTTTCGGTTCTATTTTACTCCTCTGGAGGGGCACGTGGGTTGCGAGCAGGGGCTGTTACTCATTTCTGAGGAGAGCGGAAGACGATTCTCAGCCTGGAACTCAGCAGAGCCATGAAGAGTGAGGCCGGACACCCGAGAGGAAAACACCGCCGATCGCCTCGGCCATGCCCGGCACAACATGTCGGCGTCGGCCAGCGCCAAGTCCCTCGCCAGCCCCAGCCCAGGGGCCGCGGTGAGCCCGCGGTGCCCGGGACGAGGCCAGGAAACAAAGCCCTCCGCGGTGCGGGGCCCGGCGGCCCCGGGCCCGGGCAAGGCCCTGCGGGAGGCCCGGCCTGGCCTCGCCCCCCCGCCATGACTCGACACTTCCCGGCGCGGCCCGGCCGTGGCGGTGCGGGCGGTGGGGGGCGGCCCAGCCCCGTCCCGGCGCCGCCGTCGCCTGCCTGGGGCCCGCGGGCCGCACAGGGAGAGACGGGCGGGCCGTGACGGGCCCAGGCCGCGGCAGGGCCTAGCCCGCGGGGAGGCGGCAGGGGCCGCACTTACTCGGATCCCGAGGCCATGGCGCTGCGGGGAAGGGGGCGAGGGGTGGCGGGCGGCGGGTCCTCGGAGCGGGCGGGGGGTCCGGAGGGTCGCGGGGGTCGCGGGCGGCGGGTGGCGGGTCCGGGGCGTCCGCGCTGGCTGAGCCTCAGCGCCGACTCATCGGCGGCGGGAGTCCCGCCCACGCCGCCTGCCCTGCCTAGCAACAGCCTGCGCCGGCCAATCGGAAATTCCGCCCAGCCACCGCCCCGGCCAATGGGTGGCGGGGAAAGAAAAAAGGACGAGCGCTCCGCCTTCGCCCCGCCCCCTGCGCGCCCTCTGGCCAATCGCCGCGAGCCAGGCGCCGCTCCTCGCAGCCAATCGAAGCGCGGCGTTCAGCTGAATGACAGCGTCCGGGCGGCCAAAGGCGAAGAGCCACCGACGGGAACATGCGGGCAGGAAGTCCCGCCCCCGAGACCGCCCGCGCCCCGCGATTGGGTGGTGCCCCGGGGAAGGGCCAATGAGGAGCGGCGGGGCGCGCACGCGGAGCTATTCCCGCCACCCGGGGCTCCCGCGGTCCTGCCCGTGGGATCGTGGAAGGCCCTGGGATGGGAGGAACCCTGAAGATCATCTGGTTCCAACCGCCTGCCATGGGCAGGGACACCTTCCACCAGATCCAGTTGCTCAGAACTCCATCCAGCCTGGCCTTGAACACTGCCAGGGATGGGGCAGCCACAGCTTCCTTGGGCAACCTGTGCCTGGGGGAAACCACCCTCACAGGGAAGAATTTATTCCCAAAACCTCATCTAACCCTGCCCTCTGTCACTTTAAAGCAGTCAACCCCCATCCTGTCACTCCATGTCTCTTTCAAAAGTCCCTCTCCAGATCTCTTGCAGCCCCTTGAGGGTATGGAAAGTCTCCCTGGAGCTTTCTCCAGGCTGAACAATTCAAACTCTCCCAGCCTTTCCTTGTAGGAGAGGTGATCCATCCCTTTGATCATCTTGGTGTCTCTCCTCTGGACTCACTTCAACAGGTCCGTGTCCTATCCTGTGCTGGGGACCCCAGAGCTGGATGCAGTGCTCCAGGTGGGTCTCACCAGAGCAGAGCTGAATTACCTCCCTCGCCCTGCTGCCCACCCTGCTTTGGATGCAGCCCAGGATATGGCCAGCTGTTTTCCCAAAGGAACTGCAGAAAAAAGCCCACCCAAAGCCCCTCTGTCCCTCCAGTGCTAAGAGGCTTCAGCAGCTACTGCCTCATGCTTCTCCTGAGCTCTGTCATGTCCTCTCTCCTAACTCATCCTTTGCCAGCAGCTCCCAAACATCCCTTTTATCTTGTGGGAGGCAAGGCTTGACAAAGGCTCAGATTATGTGCCAAGGGACCTTTCTCACCTGAAATGAGCTGCACCAAGCACTGGGCAGGGGCAGGTGTTTCTTCACCCCTGATCATTTGTTACAGAGGGGCCACAGATTTGGGACACACCAGGGACACACAGGCACATGTCCGGACCCTGCTCCCATGTGAAATTCCATGTGGAATTTAGACCTCAGAGCTGTGTGCTTCAGCCAAAACCCCTTCTCTGGGCTCCAAACTGCAGCAACTGAGCAAAAGGCCAGGACACAAAGCAGAGATAGGACAGAACTCCAGGTCCCTGGAGCCTGGAGCACAGAGCTGGCACAAAGGATGAGGATATCTCTGCCCTTGATCTCCGGTACACCCCGGGTACAGCTCCAGGCAGCAACAAGACCATGACTGCAATGTTTCCTTCTGGAAAAACAGCACAGAAAAGCCTAAAACTAAGTAGAGCTGAGGCTTTTATTAGAAAAGATGATCTGTTTCAGTCCTTTGGGAATCAAGTTTTATCCAAGAGTAATTCTGAGTCTTGAAAGAGTGATTAAAGGCCTCGTGCCAGCCCAGAGACTGACCAGGTCAGCTTGAGGTGTCCTGGGCTGCTGTCCCGAGGTAATCCTGTACAGTGCTGGCAAGAGTTTCACTGTGTGGGAACATGGCCTGCTCCAGACACGAAACCAGGTACAAAGGGAGGGGCCTGAAAGAGAAGGGGACATGTCTGACTAGGAAGTTTGTTCTGCAGAGCCCTCTGCTCTCCGCCAGCCTCTGCCCCCCCCATCTGGCTCCACACGAGCTCTTTTGTGCCCTGGGGAGTCCCTGCAGAGCCAGAGCCCGTGGCCCCTCAGAGCAGCTGCAGGGAGAAGCTCCTCAGACACATCTGAGGTGTGGGCACAGGTGAGGAGGAGCTGAGCTAAACTATCACCACAGCCTGACACGCCATTTGTGCTGCTGGAGGTGAAATCCCACCCTTCTCTCTACACACCTTCCCTTCCCTTCCTGCTCCCCTGGGGAGCTCTGGGACAATTTCTGCCACTGAGCAGCTGCCTCCTGCTTTCGGTCCAGTTTCCACAAGGCCTGCACCAGGTAGGAGGCAGCAGCTGGGTCACCTGCAAGACATGAAGGAGGATCAGCCCTTAGCAGGGGAGGAGCAGGTCCTCAGCACTCCTGTGACCTGCAGGGTGTTGCAAAAGGAGCTTAGAAGCCAGACAAGGTGGGTGAGCGTGAGGAAAGCTGATGTAATATGGAGGAGACTGTCTTGCTGTGTCACAGGCTCTAATTAACCTCGGGGCTGGCAGCCAAGGCAGACAGATGGCATCATCCCTGCAGCACAGCGTGCCACACCTCTCCTTGGACACAGGTTGGGATTTTCCCTGCAGGCATGTCTGCACCCCCAAAGGGAGGGAGCCACTGTCAGGACTGGGACCAGCAGGTTTGGCAGATTCTGGTGAAGCTCACACCTTTGCAGCACAGCCGGAGCACTAACAGGAGAGATCACCCTGGGAGCAGCACCAGCCATGCCTTGGCTGGGCTCGAGACATGTGTACTGCCCTCACAGGCTTTTATACTGCCAGGCATGGACATGCTGCTTCCTCAGATGGAGCACAACTCCAGTTCCGCTGCTCTGGGAAAGCAGACCTGTCTGGGAGAAAGTTGGCTGTACCAGGCTGGGGTTGGGGCAGGAAGAGAAATTTCCAAGCTGTCTCAGGGCACAGGTTGTTGCCAGGGTTCTGATATACTCTTCTGACAATAGTTTTGGTCTGTTTCTCCAGGGCAGTGAGCTGGCCAGGCCCCACAGAAGCATCTCTAGTATGTAACATTTCTAGTGGCCCTACTGTAGTCTTTGACACCCAAGTAAGTGTGGTCTAAAGCATAAGGACTTCCTGCTGAAGACAGCAAAGCAGGCCAGGACAAATTTGTGGAAATCCCCTCTGTTCCTCACCAAAATGAGGAAAAGGAACAGCCTCTTACCTGGAGAGATCTGCAAACCATGCTGGAAATCCAGCAGGGCTTCTTTGTGCCTCCCCAGCTCCAGAAACTGCGTACCTCGCCCGATGAGAGAGAGCAACCTGATTTTCTGGAGCACCTCCACCTCTGGCGGGACATTCTCTGCCACAGAAAGACACGTGCACCTGGAGACAGCATCTTCCAGGCATTCCCTCCCTAGTCCCAGCAGGCTGAGCCAGGTTAGCAGTCAGGACAAGCCAAAGATTTACTTGGGCCGCTCATCTTCCAGTTCCCCAGACAGATGGCAATGCTCAGCCCCTCTGCCAGGCTGGAAAAGGCCAGGAGGCAGCAGAGGGGGAGAGTGAAGAATGCCAAGAGCTCAGAATGTTACATGGCAGTGGTGATCAGTGACCTCAGCAGCAGCCCGACCTTTGTCTGCCCATCTGCACAACTGGCACAAATCTTTTCCCTGAAATCTGAATTGGAGAAGCTTCCTAGTTCACAGCCCATTCAACTGTTGCCTAGACAGTGAAGAAGGAGGCAGAGTTGAGGCCAAACCCTGCTCCAACGAAACCAGCCAGGCTCTTCAGAGGATTCAGCATGGCACAGAGCTCAGCACTCTGGGACAGAGGTGATGCTGGGCTCTCCACCTTGCTCCTGTACCCACTGCTGCCAAGCACATGGATCCTGATCCAGCCTGGCCCCACACAGGTCCTCACCTATTGGTTCAATGCCAGGCCCATGAAGCTGGACTCGCAGGAGATCGCTGAGGCACCTGTGGGAGGGAGGAGGAGGAGGTTTGGAGCCACTCCTGGGCTGTCAGGAGTGTTGCCAGGCCAGCCCTGGTACAGTGCTGTGCTCTGCCCTGGCCCTGCCAGCCAGTGCTGCCTGCTGGGGAGGCTCCTTCTTCCCAGCGAGGCTTCGTCACCTGCTGAACTGCGTTATGGCCTCCTTGCTCTTGCCCAGCTTGGCCCATGCCCAGCCCTGGTGCAGGTATCCAGCTGTTCTCCAGGCAAGGCAGCACAGACTCTCCTTCTTCTGGGACAGGAGTTCCCCCGCCAGCCCTGCCCCTGGTGATGGGCACTCTGGCTGCTCCAGCCTCTCCTCCACTCGTAACATCCGTGGGATCAGGTCAGTCGTCCGTCTGATGACCTCTTCGCACACGGTTATGGCGTCCTGGTGCCTCCCAGCCTGCTCCAAGGCGGATGCTGCTTCCAGGAAAACCTCTGGGATCCTGGGTAGAGTTGAGCTACCATCCAGGGGCACCTGGGGAACAAAGGCAATGTCAGTGCTGCAGAACTGCAGCGCCCAGCCAGCCAGAGCAATCCCACCTGGGAACACAGAGCTGCTCCCAGCAAAGCTCAGGCCCACTCCCACAGACACTGGAGCCTGGGAGAGCAGGCAGAAGCTGTGAAGGACTCACAGCTCAGCAGAGTCAAAGCAGCAAATCCCTACTCTGGAAGTGAAGGACATCCAAAATCAGGCTGACAGCTTTGGGGGGAAGGGGAAGCTATTTCTCCAAACAGCAGTAGCAAGTGCTCTCTGGTGTGAATCCAAAGGCAGACGTGCCACAAGTCAGGGGGGCCAGTTTCTTTTACATCTCAAACTAGACACTGAAACCTGGAGTCCAGGGATGACACCTGGGCCCAGGCCTTGGGATGGAGATTCAAACCTCATCTACCAAATCACCAAGGGAGCTCACCAGGACCCCTACCTGCTGCTGGAGACCCTCCTGAAGCAGAGCCAGAAAATCCAGGTAATGTTCCACTGCATCAGCCACCCTGCAACAGGGACAGGACACATGGTGGAAGGAGCAGAGGGAGCCCCAAAAGTGCCAGCAGCCAGGTGGAAGCTGGATTGCCAGCCCATAGGCTTTCCATGCACCACACTTGCTCTGGTCACAACCATCCATGCTTTGAGCAGACCTACAACAGCAGTACTGAACTGGACCATTTCCAGGAGCACAGGGAAAGCTGCAGAGCCCAAACAAGCAGCATCCTGCAAGCACACCAGAGGCACTGTTACCTCCCATCCTGGAGACACCGCTGTGCCAGCAGGTACTTCACTTCAGAGGGGTGGCAATGGCGAAGGAGAGAAGTGAGTGTTGGTGTGTGGACAAGCAGCTCTGTTTGGATTAGGGTATCGGGACTGGAGGAAGCAGCTGCTGGAGGTTTTTTTTCCAGAGCCTGTTAAAACAGGAACAGAGAATATGGTCAACACCATACTGGTCAAATCTCATGCAGCTGCAACCACTTGTCTCTTCTGGCATCTGGAGATGCACCCAGGTGAGCACAAGTTCTGCACATCACAAGCACAGCTACTTTTTCTCACAGCCACTTCCAGGAAGAGCCATCAGGATTACTCACACACAGATCAGGCAGACTCCTGATCTCCACATGGTGCCAGAAGATTTGCAAGATCACCCAGATCACCTCAGGTGTTTAGTTCAAGGTGCTCTGAGCTGCCTGGAACACCATCTCCCATTACATCCACAGACCTAGTTAGATCAGATCTCAGGTCATTCTAAGGAGAGAGATCCCTCTCCACAGCTCTGTTTGTACCTTACAGATTTCAAACAGCTAAAGAGATAACTCATTGTCTACCGCTGTTACCTGCTCTCCCAGGCAGGTTGATACAGCTAATGCACACCCCCTCAGAGCCACAATCTGGCTGTAAAGGCCTCTTTACTATCATATACTTTAAGAGACCGATACTTTCTGACCTGAGACTACAACCTCTTCTCCCAAGCCACCAAGAACACGAACTGGGACACAATATCTAGCCATATCCAACCACCAGGTGCTGAGCAGGAATTTCAGATCTCGCTGGGCTTCTTCCTGCCCACGGTCTGAAAGCAGCACCGTGCCTGGATTGCTGTAGCCTAATTTGGGGACCCCAAGAAACCAGAAGCCTGCTTGAAGCTCTGTGCAGGCTCTGCTGGGCAAAAAAACAATCCAGAACTAGAGGAATCAGACAAACCTCATAGAGCAGAGCCAGGGCCTGCAGCTCTGTATCAGTCTCTCCCAGTTCATGGTACACTGCTGCCGCGTGGGACAGGGCAGAGAGGCACTGGAAGTCGACCTGGAGGGCCCGTTTCAGGTGCTGAAGGGCTGTCTGAGGCTTGCCCTGGTTGGATGGAAAGAGATGCATGTTGCAAGCATATCTTTACTATTTGGTGGGATCCAGACCCCTGCTCTGCTTCCCCAGAGATCCCCACTAAGCAAGAGCAGCACTTCAGCCAAAGGCAGCCTTCCTCAGGTTGGTTTTTGATCTGTCTCTGCAGCCCTTTGTGCTCAGCCAAAATCCCTGCCTGGATTTTGCAGCCTGTCCAAGGAGGCTGGGGCCACGAGGGCAACTTCTGCTCAGGACCCTGCCACCCTGAAGTGGCCCAGGACCATGGAGAGGCAGTGTGGGCATCAGCCTGAGCTTCCCCACCCTGCTCTGAGATGCTTTTCCCCTCCCTGCTGTCGTTACCATTCGCTGGGCACAGCAGCCGAGGCAGGTGTAGATCTGAGCCAGGACTTTCTTGGAGCAGAATCCTCTTGCAGCTTCCTGAAGGAGGGAGAGGGCAGTGGGGAAGTTCCCAGTCTCCAGCTCCTGCAGCCCTAGGACAGACCCAACATCTCTGTGGCTCGCCTTTCTGCCCTCCCCGGTCCCCAAACAAGCATGGTGCCCTTTTCTTCCCAGTGCCATAGAGACCTGCCTGACCCCCTCCAAATCCAGCAATGCACAGCAGAATGGTCCCAAGCTGCCATCTTTGCTTTGATGGCACTGCAAGAGAACAAGTCACTCGATGGAAATGTCCAGCAGAAACAACAGGAGCTTTAAGCCAAGAAACCAAAATATCTGCCTTGGCCCAGAACAAGGACAGAGGTAGGTGCTGGGCAGGTTCACCTCCACATTCATCCACAGTGACAGAGGTGCAGATGGGGAAGCACACACACAGGATCTCAGAATCTTTCCAGCACATCTGGGCCACTTCCCAGCAGGATGCTTTGGGATCTTAAGACATTAATATTTATCACAACTAGTTATTCGCTTTTCTTCCAGTCCTCTTTTCAAGCTTCCCTCTGAGGCTGGTCTCACATACTCACATCTGCCACCTCCCTGTTGGAAGTGCTGGTGGCAGCCTTGAGCATTTTGGCTCTGGGTCTGTGGGCTGGAGCTCCTGCCCTGCCTCCTGGCAGGAAGGCCCCACACGAGCCTGAGCACAGTAAGGCAGGACTGGCTGCCCCCAGAGCTGCTGGGGTTGTCAAAACAGTGAAGGAGAGAAAACAACAAGTGGGACAGAACACAGCAGTCACATGAGATCCTTTGCCTGCTGTGACACCAGTCTACAACAGCTTTGTGTGGCTCTTGCAGCACCATAATCTGACAGGAACAACGTGCTTGCAACGAGGCACATGCAGGAAGACAGACAGAAGAAAGGAGAATCCTCACAAGTCCCCTGACAGCCTTCTGCTTTAAGATCACTGCAGGGCCCAGACACCTACGCAAAGTCACAGACAGGCAGCAGAGCCCTGTGACAGTGTGGAGAAAGGATCAGCTGGAGTAAAAGCAGGGAAGCTCTTAGAATATGGAATGGAAAAGTTGAAACTCAGAGGCTCAGCACAGGCTTCTTCCAAAGGAACAGCCCAGAAAACACCAAGGGCCAGTTTGCTTGGGAAGAGAAAGCATGATAAGGACAGGGTAAGGGGGTCCTGGGACTGGAGAGCAGTGGGAAGCTGAGTACTTTTGCCACACAAACCTTGCAGGAAGGCTGCTGCAGTGCAGAGGATCTCCTTCAAGTCCTCAGCACTCTGTAGCAGAGGCAGGCTGGCCCCCTCAGCAGGGACTTGCCATGTCTTCAGCAGGGACAGGATCTCATTCTGCCCCTCACTGCAGCAACCTCTTCCTGTGTCCTGTGAACACAAGAGGACAGAGAGCAGGGAATGCTGCAGGGAAGCAGAAAACACTGATCCAAGAGCACAGGGAAACACTAAACCCTTTGACATTGCTGTCTGCACTGGGAAGCAATGTCCTACCACCTACTCACTTCAGATACAACCCCGTCACTGCATTGACTCCTGCCTGGCCTGGGGCAGCACCTCCCCACCTCAGAGTGGGGTTCACCTCAAGAGGCTCCTGGCAAGGCAGATCCAAGTGCTGTTGGAATGCCTTCAGAAAGGTGGGACCCCTCAGCAGCCTCCTAATCAGCAGGAAGGTTCCTCTGCATCCAACTGCCCACAGATTGTTCCCTACAGAGTCTACAAGTCCATCTGCAGCCCCATTCCAGCCTGCCCAAATCTCCTGTCTCACACACAGAGGTCCCAGGGCCCCAACAGGCAGAATATTCTGGGATCCATTAACGCACTCAGGGCCATTAGGCTATGCTGGAACACCAGGGAGAGCATTACTCATGCTGACTGGGCAGCACTGATGGTTTCAGGTGTCCAAATGCCACAACAACATTTTGCAGAGTGGGTTTCATGACAAACACAATATTTATGCAGGCTCTGCCAGCGTCTGCCCATGTCCAATTACCTCAGCAGTGCTCAGGAGCCGGAAGAGGCCAGCAATGCTTCCCAGGCGTCCAGCTGCCAACCACCAGGCTGCCTGCAGGGCCCCCAGTCGGTGCAGAGGTGCCTGCAGCTCCTCCACTGTTACCTCCTGCAGCACCTTTTGCCACAGCTCCTCTGTGCTGAGATCCTGTCCACAGACCCCACAAGCCTCCAGAACTGAAAAAAAAAAACAAATCAGGCAAAAATACCCACAGCCATGAAAGCCATGAGACAAGATGGACACCCTCCCACAAGAGGGAAGAAAGCCTCAAGCAAGCATGGGCTCCTCGTAGCAAGGGAAGGAGTGGGGTTGCAGGGCTGGCCTGGCCTCAGCAGTACAGAAACCAAGCTCTCAGAGAATGGAGTTGACAGCAGCACACTCAGGAGACAACACACGGCTCAGAGCTACAACTCCAGTTCTGCCGAGTCCTCTTGAGGTCACTTGCCCTCGGTAAGCATGTACCAACACTGCAGATCCACCTCTGACCTGCAGCCTATTTCACTGGGTTTTCTTTGAAGCCAGCATATCATAATTAAGGAAAACATTTAATTTTCTACTGTCACCAAAGCTTCGCTTGTGACTTGGCACCTTACACCTTGAAAACTCTTGTTTCCCTTAAGACCTCTGGCCCATCCCTGCAGGGAGCAGCAGGCAGGCAGCTGCACATCATCCTTGGCCACAGGCCACCTCACCTCCAGCCCTTCCTGGTGGAGCCAGGTGTGCCTGCCCACTGCTCCCCCCCCTCTCCAGCCCTTCCAGGCAGAGCCAGGCATGTCTGCTCCCACCACATATCTCCAGAGCACAGAGAATGCTCCCCTCACCCCGAGGAGTCCCCATACAGAGGATCACCTCCTTACCCCTGAGGAGCCCCTGGCGTATTCCATCTGCTTGTCCCTCGATGGCAGAGTCGGATGCTCCCAAAGTGAAAAGCAGGGAGTTGTAGAGGACAGTGAGTTCCAGAGGCAGGGTAGGGAGCGCAACCGGCAGCCCTGTAGGCACAGCAAACCCAACAAGAAATTTAGCTGGCTGGGAAAAAACAACCATCCATTCTAAGGTGGCAACACCTGGCTTGGTGACAACGGAAGTGGCCTGGAAAGAATATTTTTTGTGATTGTGATTTGTGACTGTGGTGTGATTTGGGATTGTGGTGTGATTTGTGACTGTGGTGTGATTTAGCACTTGGCCACTGCCCAGAGACAGCACGTGTCACCAGTCCAGGTGCCAAGTGCTTTATACATCCATTCCCCAGCTATCCAGGTGCTGCAATCCTCCAAGACTGAGACCTTTCAGCTCTCCCCAAAGAACATCAATCCCTACGCTCTTCCAATACAAATCCACCCTTTCACACACGTTTCATACGCTGTGTCGCTCTCCTTACAGTATCCCAGAATGGGTCAGGTTGGAAGAAACCACAGTGGCTCATCTGGTCCAACTTGCCTGCTCAAGGTGGGCCATCCTACAGCACACGACACAGGACTATGTCCAGATGCTTCTTAAATATTTCCAGTGAGAGTGACTCCACATCCACTCTGGGTAACTTGTTCCTGTGCTCAGTCACCCACACAGTAAAGAAGTTCTTCCTCATGTTCAGGTGGAACTTCCTGTGCATCACTTTCTGCCCGTTGCCTCTTGTCCTGTTGCTCAGCACCACCGAGCAGAGCCTGGCTCTGTCCTCTGACATCTCAGATGCTTATAGATGTTGATGAGGTTCCCTCTCAGTTGTCTCTACTCCAGGATGAACAGGCCCAGCTCCCTCAGCCTTTCCTCAGAGGACGCTCCAGTCCCTTAATCATCTTTGTTGCCCTCTGCTGGACTCTCTGCAGGAGCTCCTTGTCTCTCTTGCAGTGAGGAGCCCAGAACTGGAACTCAGGCTGCCTTCCATCAGGCTCCCTCTGCACCACAGCTGTGGCAGGGAGCCCCTTCCCTGGCTTCCCACGGCAAAGATTGCTCGTTTTTTTCCAGAAACTCCAGAGCTCTGCCCAGCAAGATCAGGTGGAGGTTGGGGCTGGGCATTAACCCCTTGGCAGGCCTAGTTCAGCACAGGGCAGGGGGACTGTTTCACTCTGGTTTGCTTCCAGTACTGGGATGCTGGAGCTGCATCCTAAGGGACAATGGCCATAAATTAAGACACAAGAAGTTCCAACTCACCGTGAGGAAGAATTTATTTACATCGAGGGTGGCAGAGCACTGGAACAGTCTGCCCTGCTCCAGATCGGAATGTCTCCCTCTCTGGAGACATTCCAAACCCACTTGAATGCGTTCCTATGTCACCTGCTCCAGATGATCCTGCCTGGGCAGGGGGATTGGACTGGGTGGTCTCCAGAGGCCCCTTCCGATCCTGACAACTCCATCATTCTGCGATTATCACCTTTGCAGGCCCAATTCAGCACAGGGCAGCGGGGACCGCTTCAAACCCCTCCCGCCCGCTTCAGAATTTTGTTTCCAGCACTGGGATGCCGGAGCAGCATCCCGGTAAACAGCAGTGTCCGAGCCCCGGTGCTCCCACGCCCACACCCCCCAGGCCCGGGACAGCAGCGGGAGGCGCCGGACGGGCAGGGGCGGGGACGAGGACAGCGCCCCACTCACCGCGGATGCTCAGAAGCAGCTCCTCGAACGCGTCTCGCTGCCGCCGCCGCAGCTCCCGCGCCGCCGCCGCCCCGCCGGGCCCCGCAGCCCGCGCTGCCTGCAAGGGACTCACTCACTGCCCGCCCGGATGGGGGACCGCACCGGCGGCAGGCCCGGGGCGCGGAGCAGGGAAGGAAGGGGACGTGCCGCACCGTCCAGCGCTCGGCCAGCGCCCTGCTGTGGGCGGCCCAGAACCGCAGGCAGCCCTGCTCCTGCTCCTGCTCCTGCTCCTGCTCCCGTTCCCGCTCCCGCTCCCGCTCCATGTCCTGCTCCGGCCCCGGGGCCTCCTCGCGCCGCCGCTTCATGGCCGCCGCCATCGCCCGCCGCTTTCCCGCCCTCCCGCCGTCACCATGGCAACGGGGACGCGGGGCGGAGCGGGCGTCCCTCCGGGGAGGCGGCGGCCGCGGAGGGACAAAAGGCGGCCCAAGGCGAAGCCGCCGTACACAGAGACATAAAATATCCCGAGTTGGAAGCGACCCACAGGGATCCTGGAGTCCAACTCTTAGCCTAGCTCACGACACCCCAAGGACCACACCATGTGTCTGAGAGCGTTATCCAAACGGTTCTTGAACTCTGTGAGGCTTGGCGCTGTGACCACTTCCCTGGGGAGCCTGTTCAGTGCCCAACCACCCTCTGCGTGAAGAACCTTTTCCTGACACCCAACCTAAACTTCCCCTTTAGCAAACCCTTAGGAAAAGGCTGATTCTTGGGGAATTTTGGGGGGTTGAACTCCATGATTCTTGTGGGTCCCTTCCAACCTCCGGATATTCTGTGATTGCGTGATGTCCAACGAAAAGCTTCCCTGGCACAGCTTCAGAGTCAGCTTCGCACGGTTCCTGTCACTGTTCGTCAGAGAGATCAACGCCTTCCCCTCCACTCCCCCTCGTGAGGAAGCTGTAGACTGCGTCAAGGGCACTGCGAAGGAGACCCGAGACGGGTCCCGGAGGGTCCTGCACCGGGAAGAGGGACGAAAGAAGGAGACGACACTGCCCGCCTTGGCTCTCACGGTTTTATTTGCAGACATCATCAGTTTCACAGCCGCCCGGAGCCCCGTGCCACCCTCGGACAGCAAATCTCCACGCACACCTCCCCCACTCCCCACTTAATTAATTAATTAAATCATTTATTAACGGAGTGACCCCTCCCTAGGTGCCCCCCGCGGTCGGTGGTGCCGCACCCAGCACTGCTGGACGTGGGACACCCATCCCAAGGGCCGCGGTTGCCGAGCGAAGGAGCGCTGCCCAATTGCCTGGTTTGGAGGGGTTTTTGGAAGAAAAAAGGCTCTGCCTCCCAGCAGAGACCCAAGCATCGCCTCCACCTTCCAGGTGTAGCTGCTGGATGTGAATGAAAGCATTGACAGCCAGATGTGTAGATACCCAGGAAAGTGTAGCACCACACTGCATGCAGAGCTCCCAGGATGCTTTCCACAACTGGGTCCATCCCCTTTATTTTTTTTCCCCAAATGAGGGACTGAGGCACACAGAGGTTAATAAAAAATAAAACAATCTTGCTCCAAGCCATGTCGTGTGTTGAGTCAGGGTTCAGAAGAAAGAGCAGCACCCCCCAGCCCTGTTCCCCACACACTGGCACTGCTGCTTCCCAAGGGGAAGGGGGAACATGCACACTGAGACTGGGACTGTGCCTTGGCATAAAAAAGCAGCCTGAAGTGTTGAGGGAAAAACAGAGATGGGACAGAGGAATGGGAGTGGGAACAGAGCCCTGGCCTCCCCAAAGCAGTGCCATCCCTTGGGACCATGTCAGCCCCACGGATCAGAGCAGTGGGATGCTCCCAACACCCCCAACTCTTCACAGTGGTATTGGCTTTCGGTTACCGTTTTCCAAGCAGCACAAAAAAGACACTATTCAATCCCTGACCTGTGCCAGGACCATGGGACACACTGTCCACCATGGGCCTGAGCCAGGGAAGTTTCCCAACGGAGTCTCCCCTGCCAAGGAACACACGCACAACGCATGCAAAGCCCAAAGTGCAGCAGGATTGTGGAGTGCAGGATGGAAACTACTCCGCTGAGCACTCTGTCCCCTGTCATGCTCAGCCAAGGGACATAGGGACTAGAAACAAACCACTTGGAATAACTCCTCCAGGAGAGACAAGCAGGCTATGACAACCTCTTTGAAAGGAGGGGGCAGAGCCTACTCCCCAGCATGTGAAGTTTCCCAAAGAGCCCTGGTTTGGACCAGCAGGCAGTTTCCTCTTGTGGTTTTAAATCAGCCCTGTCTGCTCGAGCATCAGCAGCATGTTCTGCTTCCAAGGTCGCCAAGCTCTGGACCAGCATTAACTCTGTAATCCCCAGCAGGCTCAGGAGAATGGCAGACCATCAATCAGCTCGAGGGCAGCTGGGGAAGGCTGACAAAGACTAAAAGAGTCAATGAAGGGAAGCAAGAGCATCTCCAGCCCTTGGAAAACTTGTCTTAGTGAACCTGAAATCTTTGGTGTAGCAGCCAGTCTGTCGTGGCCGAGCAGCCAGCACTCCGTGGCATCTCTGCAGTGACAGGAATGTATCTCCAGCTCTGTTACTGCAAGTTTTGTTTAGTCTCTGTTAAGAAAAGTGTGTGTGCTTCAATGACACTACAGCGCTGCTGTTCCCTCTGCTCTCCCTGGCGTACCAGGAACATGAGCCCACAGCCACAGTGGAGGGGTGACATGGAGGGGTGAGAGAGGATGCCCAAGCACCCTGTGAGTATTCCAGCCATGAACTATGGGCATGGAAAGCCTCAGCTGCCTTGGAGCGGCCGGTGAAAGAGGAACTAGTCCCAGAGATGGGAGCCCGGGGGCCTGGGTGGCAGCAGCAGGGACGTCAGGGGCCAGTTCTACACTATCAGTGACCACAAGGATTCTTGCCAGCACAAACACACTCAGGGCAGCAAGCTCCTGACCAGGTTACGAGGTCACAAGACGACCTATTTGGGCTCCAGCCTTGGGGTTTAGCAATATGTTATCCAGACTAACGTCACATTAAATGAACACTGGGTAGCTGCTACCTCCACCCCCTTCCTCCTCTGCATATGGATGTACCCCTCGCCGCTCAGCACAGAGAACATATGGCCAAGGAGTCACAGTTTACAGCAAATAACCTACTTCTGAGGGTGGGACTGCCTAAACCCATCTAACTGTGGGCTGATGTGTTTCTGCAGCTTCCAGCTTCCCCCACTACGCTGCTACCCCTTGCCTGTTCCTAGTATCAGTGTCACGCATCCAGGCAGTGAGGCAGCCCAGGGAGTGATGCCAGCTACAAACCAGTCCCTGGCTCAGTCAGGTGAAATTGAGCAGGACGGGCTCACAGAGCAGGGCAAAGGAGAGGCTGACACAGGAGAGCACAGCCAGCAGCTCAGGAGCAGGCCAGGCAATGGAAACCCAAAATTAGAACCGTTTAAGCCTCGCTGGAACTGCACCCTAACAACTGAGCAGGCATTTTGCAGAGGTAAAATACAAAACTCAACCTGCCCTAAAGAGCCATTTTCCACAGCAACTGGACACTTGGGAAAAATGGTAAGAACTCAAATGATGAGAGAGGTGACAAGACATTTTCCCTGGGACTCTCCAGGGCACAGGAGAGGAAGAGCCTGGAGTTACACTAACAGTCTGCAGTGAGGAATTCAAACAGGGGCAGTCATGGTGCATGAGTTAAAAATTAATGGGATCAGACAAACATCAATGCAAAAATCCCAGGCAAGCAGTCCTCAGCTCTTTCCAGAGGGAAAAGAGACAAAAGGTTTCATAGCACCAAGTAATGCCACACAGTGGTTCAGGGCAGTAAGGAATCCCAGCTCCAATGAAAACTGCAGGAGGAACTTGGCTGGGATGTGGCCACACACCATGGTCACTGTCCTCTACCTGTGCCCATAAAGAAAGAAACACCATGCAGCCAAGGGCAGTTTGGGGTAGCTCACTTGTGGCATGAGGTCCCACAGAGAATGCCAAGGCCAAGAGGGAGAGAAGTACCAAACACAGGATGATGGATGTAACTGGCTG